CTTTCTTCAATCTAATCTTCTTTCCTTATCCATCGTGGCAAGGCAATGTGATAAATCTTATCTTCTTTGATATCTTTTGTTTTGTTGATAAATCTAATCTTCTTTCTTTATCGGTTGTAGTAAGGCAATATGAGATAAGAGAGAGACAAGGTTCAAATTTTAAAATAAATGGTGACGGTACGATCCTAGATCCTAGGGAGATATGATATCTATGTATATAACGAATTTCACAGAGATTAAGACACAAAAATAAATAAATAAAATAAAATGTAAGATCTTTTTATTTGTGAATACAAATTTATTTAATTTTAATTTTATTTATTAATTATGACATTGGCCAACTATAAAATTTAATTTTACAAAAATAAATGGTGATTGTACGATCCAAGTTCCAAGGGAGATATGATCCATATATATGATGAACTTTACATTAGAATGAAGAAAATGTAAGATTCCGGCACAAAAAGAAGTAAATAAAGGAAAATATGTATTATTTTTTATTTTTTATAAAAAATAAATTTATTTGAGAATAAAATTTTTAAAAGAGATTAAGACACAAAAAGAAGTAAATAAAAGAAAATGTAAGATCTTTTATACATTTTTTTTAAAAAAATAATTTTAATTGTGAATTCAAATTTATCTAATTTTAATTTTGTTTATTAATTATGACATTGGCCAATTATAAAATTTAATTTATAAAAAATAAATGGAGATTGTACGATCCAAGTTCCTAGGGAGATATGATCCATATATATAATGAACTTCACATTAGAACTAAGAAAATGTAAGATTAAGGCGCAAAAAGAAGTACATAAAGGAAAATGTGTGATCTTTTGTATTTTTTTATAAAAAATAAATTTATTTGAGAATACAAAATTAATTTAAATTTTATTTTATTTATTAGTTATAAGTTTATAACAATTGGCCAATTACTAAATTTAATTTATATTTGTAATTTTAAATTTATGTATTAAATAAATTTGAAATCATTGTTATAAGAAATTTATAGTTTTCAAAATAAATATTTAAAATTTTTAGTTTTCAAAATAAAGGGTTTGTTTTTCAATATTTATGTATTAAATAAATTTGAAATCATTGTTATAAGAAATTTATAGTTTTCAAAATAAATATTTAAAATTTATAGTTTTCAAAATAAAGGGTTTGTTTTGATATTGAAAAACCTTTAATTCAATCGTCGCAATATCAAGATATATTAACTAGCGAAAAAAATGATTTCAAATCTTGGAAACAATGTATTAGTTTATCAGGACTTTCATTTAGTTTTTTAAATTTTAAAATCTCTCTCGCCCTGGAAAAGGACACACTCTCTCGAACGGGATATGAACCGGATAGAATTACATTGAAATGGCGCTGCTCTATTTCCCTCTAACATGGGTAACAATCACGAAAAGTAGCATTTAAAACTTAAAACAAACTAGAAGTTGAACAAAAAAAAGAAAAAGAGAAATGCTTTTTATTGGATTAATATTTTCAGGTAAATACAATGATTTGGAGATAAGAATTCTAGGGCAGGTTAGCAGGGAGCTCGAATCGGCACATTGGACATGAATTTCTCGACGTGAACCACTTGAAGATGCAATCCTCATGATACATGTGGGAGCATGGGAGTACCTTTCCGTCCCCATTGGAAGCATTGATGTTGCAGAGGCACACAGTGGAAATAACCTCTTCTTCCGCTCTGATATCTACCTTTGCTAAGAACTATACTGTTGATCTTGCCGCTGCTATATGAGGACAATCCACCTGTGAGGATGCCTCGATGGTTATAAGATGGTCGACATTATCGGTTTCCATTTGTTGGAACTCGCCTTAAAAAATGTAGTGCGAAGTGACTTCCATGAATAGGCCAAGCTCAAGCTCTAATTCCATTATTATGCCAAACTCGTCCATCTCAGCTTCGGTAATTTCCTCCTCTTCTTGGGGGGCCTCATATTCGGTTTCAGCGAGAATTGCTTCCTTTTTTTGGGGATCCTCATATTCGGTTTCAGCTTCAAGAATTTCATTCTCTTTTTGGTGGGCTTCATATTCGATTTCGGGTTCCGTGTGATCACCTTCTACAATTTTTCTCTCATGTTTGATGTCTAAAAAAAAACGCAATTGCACCTATACATTAGGCTCATTGAATAAGCGCACAATATCACAGGCTTGACATGCTATTTTCCAACTGAGGCCACGGATGATCCGTAAGGGTATTGGTGTCTGTTCCACCAATGCAAGCAAAAAGTACATGTATGCGCGTTCTTGAGTTTGCAGGTCTTGAGTGATAGGGATTTCGGTCTCAAAGGCAAAGAAATTAATTGAATCCAAGAAATCACCATCTTGGGACACAAGGTTCGTGAATGTTGTCATCTTTTTTATAAAAACTCTGATCGCCACATCTGGACGGGATTGCACAGTCGGAACTGAACACACATCGGTTGAAAGTCTATAAAGATCATTGACATGGCATGGCATGGCAAGAGTTTGGAGAACCTGCAGATTGTAGAGAGAAAAAAAGCAAGGTCGAAATTTTGTCAAAAGAGGATTTAGAAGGAAAGCAAAAGGGGAGAAGGAAGATATTGCAGAATGGAGAGAGGGGTCTCTCTTATAAGCAACTCTCAGAGTGCTTGTCCGTACGGGATTTGGATATGTTTAATGCGGGCCGTAGGTGTAAAAGAATCTTATTAATAACTATATCTCTCTATTTTAAATTCCTTTTTAAGACGGTTATACAAATCTCTCTCTCCATCTAAAATCCAAATCCCTTGGGTACAAATGAGTCGGATGCATGGACATGAGAAAAAATGGATTTTAAAGTTTGAAAATAGTGCATATTGTAATAGATTTTTTGACCGTCAATTTTCAATAGTATTAAAATCATATTTTTCAAAATTATTTGAAGGTGTACTTTACTTTTGATTGTTTAGAGCCTCTGACGCTATACAAATTGCACCCTTTTTTTTATTCCCACGAGCAATGGGACCTTTTCAATTTATGGAGGAGATTAGCCTCCCCCAAATAAGTCTTAATATAGAGACCGAATAGGTTTTATTTATTGGAAGTTTGAAAAACTTTTTTTGAGTTGGTTGTAAGATTTGAAGAACATGCATCACGTGCCTGTGAATGTGCTGGAGAGAGGGAGAGAGGAGTTCAAAACATGTTGTCAAATTTGCTTAGCTTAGGTTGAAGCCTTTGGATTTTAAGCTTACACCGAAGCGATGCTTCGGTGCCTAGTGTTGCCGTTTCGATCATTTTCGGGTATGCTTTGGGCAGATTTGGCCCCTTTGACCCTAGCAAAAAAATATCTATATAAAAGTAATTTTTATTTTTGTATTATTTTTATATATTGGTAACGTCGTTTCAGTTAGATTCTGACCGCTTTAGTCGGATTCGGATATGCTTTAGGTAGATTTGGCCGAAGTTTGTCCTCTTCAGCCCAAGCAAATAAATATTTATATAGAAGTATTTTTTTTTTAATTTTAATTTTTCATTTTTAGTTATTTTTATATATTTACATATATAAATATCTAATTTATTTATTTTTTTTAAAAAAATTTGAATTCTTCTCTCAAATCGATCAAAGCCACGGATTGCTTAATTTTTCTCATCAAACCAAAAAAGAGCTTGAAGTGAATATGACAATATTGGTTGAAAATTATGATTTTTTAAGTATGTTATTTTAATCAAATTCCAAAAATTCAAAATTCTCTAACTTGATTTTTGGTGACTCATATATTTGACCCGATTCTTCAGCTCTGACCTTTTAGAGCAAAACCAATTTATTACCTAATGTTTAGATTCGCCGATATATTTTTTATTTCCCAACTGGTTAATTATAGGTTCCAGTTGAATCCCCTACACACCTAGACCATGCCCATAATTCAAGTTTAAAATGAAATTTGGGAGTCGGGCTCAATGAACTATGCATTCACCGTGTGAATTTTTTTTTTTTTTTTTTGACCTCTTGACTTGACAAACTAATATTTGTAGATGAAATCAGTTGTTTAGGATGAGTCCAAGCCGAGTTCATATATTGTGTTTTGGGTTCTCATATGGGGTTGCAATGTGGCATTCCACGTTAAAATTTATGCAAACGTTACTTTTGATGTGAACTTTCAAAAGAAAAAGAAAGAGAAAAAAAAAAAAGAACAAAAAAAAAAAATAAAAAAAAGGGCAAAAAGACAGGCAATTTAGTGGATAAGACAAACCCCTATCCATTTTTACAAGTAGATTAGGACGAGCTTTTTTAAAAGATTAGTGGGCAACCCATTTTTTAAAGAAGATTAAGAGTGAGTTTTTTGAAGGTATTAGTGGGTGACCCATTTTTTCAAGAAGATTAGGAGTGAGCTGTTTTTTCAAGTAGATTTTTTTTTTGAATAATTTAGTGGGTAAGACAGCCCTTACCCGTTTTAAGTAGATTAAGAGTGAGCTTGTTGAAGGTATTAGTGAAACACCTATTTTTTCAAGTAAATAGGAAGGAGCTTTTTTGGAGGTATTAATGGGGTGGTAAAAATAGAAACCACAACATGACGTCTGAAGTATGAGTGCTACCACCATGACTCAAGCCCGTTTTTTAG